TGTTTCAATTAAAACACCTGAGTATATTTAAAATTGCCATTGCCCATTCCTATATCAACAAAAGTCCAAAACAAATGGGAAACTAAAGCCACCATTAAAAGCATGGGCAGGTAAAGAGTTTTCTGTTTGGTACACTTATGCTGAAACCTCAAAATTGGAGAAGGGAAAGGGAGAGAGGAGAGGAGGGAGGGTCAAGTCTAGTTGCTTTGACTTGGCTTAGAAGAGTTGCAGTCCTCATTCTTCATTGGAAACATGAAAACAACAGTGCTTATGACTGGGCTAAACAGAAAACGATTGGTCCACAGAATGGTAATATTAGCATTAAAATTGCTTGCTGGCAATTTCTAGACATTTGTAGCTGTTGTTGCCAGCAAGTGCTAACAATCACCAGGAGCCAGATTCCAGCTAAGCCTGTCAGCACTTCAGTTTTTGGCAAACATTTCAGAGATAATGTTTTGACGCCTCTGTGCTCACTTGCAGTCCAGTCAGATTAGAGATCACAGGTTGAAGTACATTGCACTATTGCACTCTCTACAACAATTACCCTCTGTTAGTCTTTGAAATGAAGGAGACCAGCACTGGTTCAGTATCTTAACAACAGATGTTCCTAAAGTAGCAGACATTTACACTCTGTATTTCACCTGGAAGGCAGATCACATCCATCTCCACACTGGTTTCCAAAAAACAGTCACTTGCATACTGATAGTCTACATTTGATAAACACATGACTTCAAGGCCATTCAAAATGAGGGACACACTTTTACATTCAGCTTTAGACTTGGAAGAAAATTCTGTCATTTCACTTGTACTCTGAAAAGCTGGAGAAAGTCATAGTCTTCCAGGTTTTGGATTTATTATTGTTTGCCTAAAGATTTGAAAATTAAACGAGAGAAAGCCCCAGAAACTAAGAGCCAATTCTTTTCTGGATTAAAATCAAAATAGCTCTACAAAATTTTAGAATGCAACATTGCTTTCACAAACAAATGTCTGGCCCAATATCTCCAAGCTGTGCAAAAGACATGATTTAGTATGGCCTTGTTGTGATAGAACAAGGGTAATGGTTTTAGACTAAAAGGGTGCAGACTCAGACTAGATAATAAAGAATTAAGTTTTTACGACAAAGGTGGACACAGGCACAGAGTGGTGGTAGATGTTCTATCCCTGCAAATATTCCAGGTCAGGTTGGACAGGGTTCTGAGCAACCTGATCTAATTGAAAATGCCCCTGCTTATTGCAGGGGGGTTGAATTAGATGGTCTTTAAAGGTCCCTTCCAACTCAAACTCTTCTATGATGTGCAGGAGAAATGGGTTTTCCATTGGAACACGGGAAAATTTTAGTACATGACCTTAAGATTCAGAAACCTTTCACATCAAGAAATGCAATGGCAGAAGTTCATTGCCAGGGCACGTTGCAGCTTTATTCTTGTACTTAGTTCAAACTTAAGTTTCAAAATACCATCAACCTCAGCAGCCACACCCAGTGAAGCTAGATATATTTCCTTCACAGAAACTCAAGCCATGTATTCACAATCAAATGAGCAGCAAGATTTATTTAAACAGATAGGAGGAAAACAGAAGCCTATCTCTAGACTGTAAATTTAATTCTTTTAAAAGTTTAAATCTTCTGGATGCAAGCGCAGCATGAAGTTTTCAAACCCCACAAAAGTTCAAAATGCATAAAGTTGTTTCATACACTTTGATACCTTTGAAATTATTAAACTAAAGAAGTTCTGCCATATAAACAAATCCAACTCCTCTTGGAGTCAACAAGTGTTGCAGTTGCATACAAACTGAATAGGAGCTATTATACAGTGAAACACCAGAAGGCATTTTCCTTTCTATTTTAAAGCTGGCCTCAATTTTTCCATGCCTTGGCAGGTTGTTTTCACAGGATTTAGTGATTTGTTTTTAAAGCAAAAAAGAATGGTAGGCTTTGAAATCCACCATCAGAAAGCGTTTCTAAATTTGGGTGCACGTGGCCTTAATCATTGCACAGCATCATACACCGTGTTTTAAACCTCTGTAAGGTAACACCACTGTAGAGGGGGACCTGTTTTACATTAACAGAAGCAGAGCAAAAGATACCTGATCACAGGATGTAGGGCAATAATGAGATGGTGCATGCTTCAAGAAGAAGCATTATTTGCTTACACACAAATATTTTCCAAAACAGTAACATTTTCTAGCTATTGAGTACATAATTTCAGGGTGCCCATCAAACACGGGGTACATTTCAGCAGTCTCCACAGAAGAGCTTCACACTCTCAATCACATTCCTAGTTAAGTTTCAAACCAAACAGCATATAACAGCATATAACAGCAAATAAACTTTTCCCCAAACCCATGTTTACTTTTGCACTGCATCCATATTTCATTGTTGAAAACCGCAAAACAATTGAAGTGAAAAAAACCCAAAAGATATTTAGAAGTAATTTTGAATGAATCTGAGCAGAGCCTTTAAACCTGCTCCCCTTTATAAGTACAATGTTTAGATCTGGTGTACATCCGAAAGTCTGAAAATGACCAACAATGTTAATTTAGAATTTTCTCACCAAAAGAGTCATGTCATTGTCAGAGTTAGACTGAAACACCACTGTGCCATCTGATCTATTCAAAAACATCGAAGAAATATAGAAGTACTTTTATACAGAGCAGCTGCATTCACAGAGGATGGAGGTACAAAGGAGGGAATCTTTTTAACACTGGCCACAGAGATAAAAGCAACATTTCTTCAGACAACATGAGCGGGCTGGAACTGCAGGCTCCTGTTCTACACAAGCCAAGGTCTGGCTACTAAGCTGATGAGCTGCTCCTGGGCAGGTTGAGACTGCCCAGCACAATGAGCAGCAAAGGCTCGGGGCAGACCAACCACAGCAGGAATGACAGACACTACATGCTAACCTGCCAAGGTGATCCCCCCTCAGTTGTCCCTAAAGCGTTCAGCCTACATCTGGCCCACACAAGTGTTTGGGCAGCATTACTCACATACTATACCTGTCACCATCTCAAATGAGGGTTGCATTTTTAGAGTTACTTTCAAGTTACTGGACTGAACACAACAGATTTGCTTTTTCAACACTAGTTTCTTACTTCTGTTCACTAGAAACTCCTTTTCCAGTCTATTTATGAACAGGAGAACATGGCATGTCATTTGGCAGAGGAGGTTTCCTATCACACTGCAAAAAATTGCTAAGAGTTCACAGAGCTCCAGTCTTAGACTGTGCATGAAGTTTCTTGATGAAATGGGTTTCTGCAGCAGCACACTGTACTAATTCAAATCAAATTAAAATGGAGAAATGTCCTAAAAAGGGTTCATCCTGAATCTAGCCTCTCACACTCTCTCCTCACCTCCAGTCTTTGTCTCTCAGCTTCTTGTGGCCTTTGTCGGACTCACATTACCTACTGCAAGTCTTTTGCACATTTCCTGCCTGACTTTACTCCAGAGGAAAAGCATTAATATATTGAACTATGGCCTTGTAAATGTTCCCACTTGAACATGTCTTGCACAGGAATATGCCTCCTTGCCACAGCAGCTGGAAACTTCAGACCGGAAAATGAAAAAGATTTTCAAGAAACTAAAATAATGTGTGATTAACCTTTCTAACAGCCTATCAAGATTTGTGGCAGGCCACCATGCCTTCAAATCAAAAACTGAAGATTTAAGATCAGCAATCATTTAGCTAGTGGGCATGATGCTGGAGCTAGCTTTGAAATATTCCTACATGATATATAAGGTCAGGCAGTAAGATTCCTCTTAAAATGTACAGACAAGCTTATTAGCCTGTAATAATACAGAGAGCTTTAATTATGGCAGTGTTGCTTTACAGATTTCCATGGAGAAGAAGACCATGTGTGTTTTGGCCGCTCAGAACTCCATGATATTTTTCAACAGAAGGACAGAGAATTTTTTGGCTTCATCAATATTCTTTGGACAAAGTCTGTCCAAGACTGCTTTAAGGAAAAAGTGAAAAAAATATAAGACTAGAGTCTAGATAGATTACTAACAAGATGTGCCCAGGATATGAAGTACAAAAGGTATCTTGTTTGCAAACCAGCAACGAAAATCAAAACAGAAGAACAATAAGGTGGCTGAAGTTAACACAAAGTAATAAAATCCATTATCCTCTGATGATCCCAGCAGTATCATTCAGGCAGAAAATAATTAAGTATCTTTTATTTTATGTGGTTGTTCTTAATTAGTAGTCATAACTTTTTAGGTCATGCAGTTACATCCAAACAAATAAAATGCCTTTTTTTAACCTGGTACAAACAGTAATTTCATGTAACCTAATTCAATATACTGTATGTTCTGATACTAAAAAAAAAAAAAAAAAAAAAAGAGAGACAAGGTTACAAACAAAGCCCAGACTAGAAACACTACAGGTACACATGACCGGGGAATAAAACTGTGAGATATACTAACACATTAACATGATATCAAAACAAACTACTGCTGTCACTTGAAACTAACAATAAAGGGCATCTTGCTTTCACTCAGAAAAGTACATTCATGTTGTGATAATATGTATAAAGACAATATGTGTAAAGAAGTGAAGCTTATTAAAGCCTAAGGGTTATGATTAAATTATCTACATAATCTAAAATGATGCCTGAAGAGTGTATTACTCTCCAGAGTATTTTTGTTTTCTGACAGCTGCTTAAGCAAGCAAGCTGTACATTGAATATACTGATGATGAAGCAGTCATCAGCTTAAACTGAAGCACTGCTTCACCATATACTTTTGCATTGCTTCCAGTGCACTGTTTGGGGATTACTTTTTTTTTTTTGGTAGCAAGATGATAGGCAAAAAACTTAAAAACTAAAAGATTTTTAGTTGAAAAGAACAGCCACCTCAGTGAGGTACTTGGGTAGTTTGTGCCTCGCCCCAGGACCCCCTTTGGGGCCAGGGCAGAGAGGCACAGATTTCAGTGCTGCTTTCACCTACACAATATGCCTGTTCTGTACACAAAAACAAACCCAAAACACTGCGCAAAGCTCACCTCCAAAGGAGAGCCAGGATAAACTCACACCACCAGCTCGCCCCGCCAGCGCTCTCAGAAGAGTTGAGGGCACCTCCCTGCTCGGCCGGGGCGCACCGCGGGCGCTGTGGCTGTCACGGCGGTGACAAGGAGGGCCCCGCTCAGGAGACCTGCCCTCCGTGGCAGCCCCCACACCTGCTGGCAGCACACGTCCCCCCGGGAGCTGCGCTGCCACATCGAGCTCTGCTCGCTGTCAGACGTGTCACAGGGAGGCTCGGGCAGGTGGAACTGTTGGGCAGTTTCCATGGCAACAGCCATCCCAAACTGCACCGCAGGGCAGAGCGTGACCGCATCCCTGGGGCTCACGGCTCTCCGGATGAGACACTCAAGGGTGAAAGGGCTGCCAAGCACCTGCGGGAGGTTCATGTTGATTCCCCTCTCCCTTCCCACGTTCTCCCAGCCATGTCAATTCCACTCTTTCCCTGAGCGTGTTCCCCACACCCGGTTCAGGGCGGCAGCTCTACCCGGAGCAGAGACACCCTCAACAATCCTGTTAACTTTGTCACGGTTGCCCCAGACTGCTGGATTTGGTTTTCTCCGCTTTCGTGCAATGCTCCCACCACAATGTCCATGTGTCCCTGGAACCAGACTCTTTAGGGGAAGGGAAACATTCTACCACCACAGCCCAGGGCCCGGCTCAGCAGGGTGAGGTGGCACAGCAGGATTCCAAAGGAGGAACACACAGCAAAACCAACCCCAGAAACTCAGATAAAAAGAGAAGTGTGTGAAAAGCAAGGTTTTGACAGATAGAGCACTCAGTAAGTGTTGATCACAGCATAGTGCAAGAAGTGGTGTTGAGGCACAGGCCCAAAACCTGCAGACAAACCAAGCTGTATAAATAGCTATGTTGCTTTAAAAATGATTGTTCCTAGAGGTGACTAACAATCAAATGGATTCATGAACCACAAGGTTTTTGATAAATAAATGCTTAACCAAGGATTTACTGTAATATTCATTTTTCTTTCTTAGCCAGTGAGTTATCAAATTCTGAGAAGTCAAAATTAGTAATGGAAAACACCAGCAAATCTCCAGAATCTGACTGTTTATACAACTGCCAGTACTTTTTTTTTTTTATTGGAATGATGTCAAGGAGCATCGCTCTCTGGTACAGAGCCATACCAGTGCAGCACAGACACTGAGCTGGCATGCAGGGCAAAAAGGGCTAATTGACTTGGACAAATGAATAATTCTGAGAAGATCATAATGTTTCTTCAAAGTTTGTTTATATTGATAAAAATATGCTGAACTGTTCACTCTGCCTTTCAGGCTAGGCAGCTGCTGACTCAGCTCTTTCTGCAAATTTTAAGTGATATGTTTTCAGGGTAATTTGCCAGTCTAGAAACCAGTCAAGTCACTGCACAATTAGCTTGTGAGATTAAGCTGTCACAGATTATATAGAAGGTCAATCACCAAAGTATTTAAATACATATTTACTCTGTTGTATTTCAAGTTAGTTTGATATGCAGGAGGGCCATTTCCTTATTTCCTGCTACAATTCTGTGCTACCTAAAACAAACCAGAAACTTGGTATCCTATGTAAAAAAACCCTGAAACCTGAAACAAAACAGGTTGTGTTCTCCAGTAAAGCATCCCATGGGATTCCTGTAAGCTTCATTAGGCATATTTTTTGAAGAGACAGTGGACTAATAGGAAAACATGCAGCTCATTTCAGTAAGATCAATAGGCAAGGCACAACGTAGTTATCTCTTTTTCCAAGTTATTAATGATAAATATTTCAGTTAAATTTTCATACTGAATTTTTTTCTTTCTCTTTTAATATTAAAAATTCTATATTCATTTGGCACTACAATTTGATCTCAGTCTCATACAATAGAATGAAATACCTGCAATACCAGTGAAGAAAAGCTCTTTACACAGACCAAATTTTCCTTATATTTCATAGGAAATACCCAATGTGTACATCAGTTGAACAACCAACATACAAACAGCACCGGTAGAACAGTAGCCAGCTGAGATCAGATCTTGGGAAGAAAAACTATATAGAAACTCACTGAGTCATAAAGACTTCAGTCCTGCAACTGAACACACTGTTTTATTACTGTAATTCTCACCAGTCTGAAGCACCTCTCCCCCATCCCTCACCCCCTGAGATCAATGCTATAAGAGCTGGATGAGACCCTGGCCATAGCAAAGCCATTCAGAATAGAGCAGCTGGCTTCAAAGACACTAGAATTTCAACTATTTTATTTAGACATCTTTGGTTACTATCCAATGGTATTTATCTTACTAAGAGGAACATTCACCTATTTACTACTCAAATATAAGCTTCTGAAATTTTACTATATCAATTTAAGCCTCTTTCCAAGTTTAACTACAGATTTTTAGTACTGCTGGGCTCTGTCAAATAGTCATAGTCTATTCCTTGTAGCCACTTTATTTCAGTAGAAAGATAAATTATCTGTTTTCACAGTGTAAAAAAAATTATTTTTACCATGTTTTACTAAAGGTAAAATTACATAACTAACCTTAGGCAAAGAACCAGAAGCATAATGAAAAAAATATTTTAGAAATGATGTATTGCTATTAAGACTGGAAACATTTGCAGTTCTGAAAGAAATTTTTGATGTGGAAAGAAGAGACCTGGCCTATGTTAAAAAGGCTGTTATTCCAAAGGGGAGAGTCAGTGCAAGAAAGCAGCAGATGGGAGAAGGAGAAAAGAAAGGCGAAAAGAACATATGCCTTTTGGATTTACTGATCTGTGTTTTTCTATACAATCCATAAAATATGCTCACTGGTAGACCCTTTACACTGGTGAAATGAAATCAATCTTCTTTAACATAAAACAAAAGTGCATTTACTGTGTATTTTAAATAGTAATTGACTTTGAGATCATTTGGGAAAATTAACTAAATTTCATTAAAGAAGATAGTATCTTTAACCAAGAGGCCCCAGAAATGATGGGCTGACATGGGCAGTAAGTATGCACACCAGAGATAACAAACACCCTTGTAGGAGGCAAATTGATTTTCTGCTTCTGTGAAGCCTAACAAATGGTTTCTACCACATGCTTTGTTCCCAAATCACTCTTAAACCAACTACCATGTTTGTCAGATTTAAAAAAAAAAAGGCAAAAAAATCAGATGTTTACCTTTCAAAGCTAGTATCATCTTATTAGACCTCTAAAAGCACAGCTACTGTGTCAGAAAGCTTCCCTTCATCCCCCTTGTAACAGAGGCAGTTTCTAAAGATATTGTCAAGCATAATGTGATGATTAGAAATGATTGAATGGCTTTCTGTCTTCATACAATTTACTTGCTCTTGATTTATTATTTATGCAATCTTACACATATAATAAGGGTAGACAGATCCAGTACAGGATTGACAAAACATCATTTCTTTCCTATTTGCTGAGTTAGCTTGTTTTGTAAGAACTATCCTACTAATATATAGCTGAAGCATACTGGCATAAGTTCCTACTTGTCTCTTCATGTGCTGTGTAGGTACTTGTTATTTAAAGCAGATTACTGTCCATAAGAAAAATAATTCATTTGGATCCAGTAGAAACGCACTGAAGTATACAGCACACTTGTCAGAGAGATTAATGTAGACCTCAGTAATAAGATTCACCTCAGCACTAGGGTTAAGCTCTATCTCACCCTGCCTGCAGACAGACCAAGAAAGTTACAGCAGCAGAACGCACTCACAACACTTCCCCACGCCGAAGCCAGTAAAAGCTAAAAGGCACACACAGCCCAGACAAAACCAATTAGTCACTTAGGGAAACCCACCAGCTATCTTTGGCAAGCTTTAGACAACATCTCTAAGTTGCTATCAGGACTGCTCAGCTAGGTAGAACTCAGAAGAGGAGACAGTGACCAACATACTTTCCTATCCCTCAGCTGAAACTCAGATGGGTGGGAGAGGGGCCCAACTGGTGAGCCCCAGGGAGCTGGGGAAGCCAAGCCAACATGCTGCCAGTGCTCTGTGAAACCTCCAGGGATTTCACCCCAAAACATTAAATATGCACACATATGTGTCACCTCTCACAATAGAAAAAGACAAAATCATTCTCAGTCTTACCTGCAGCTCTGTATTCTGATTTATTTAGTGTATTATTCTTAAACAACTAAAAAGAGAAGTAGAGGTAGGAAAAGTCAGAAATGCACTCCTTCCAGGCAGTCACCTAGAAGAGCTTCTTCACTACGCAGGCAGAATTTAAACCTCCTTGCCCACAAAAAATACCCACAAACCCACCCACAGAAATCAGCTACACACCTGCCACAGTCACAAAGGTGTGAACCCCTCCTCTAGCACAGCTGATTCTGCAAGCACAAATTACCACCATCTTCTCCTCCCATCAAAATCTGCAGCCCCTGAATACTAACTGTATTGGAAACAGCCATTATTTCCCAGGAACAAATTCAGGCACCTATAGCACAATGACATCACTTGGGGTAACTCTCAACACGTCCCAGGCTGTCTGGTTAGGCAGTCCCAAAAGTTGCTAAGCCAGTCTTGGATCAAAAGTCAGTTTCTCAGCAAGATGTACTTTAAGTGAATACAATAAATAGGATTAAAGGGAATAAAATGAAGCCAAACACAGTTTGTGGGTGTTCCATACTTCTTAAAGACATTTGACTGCTGTAAGCACCCAGGCACACCAAACTGCTGTGCTTTAACCATAATTTGAGCTGACAAGAGAGAATCAAGTGTCTTTAGTTCGTTGCTCCCCATGACAAGAACAGGTTTTGCTAATGTAAAGTTAAAAAATAAAGAAGCTGCAAATTTCCCCTAAGTAGAAATTATTAAAATGAAATAGTCTTTAAATAGGAACAATGGATCCCCTGTTGCTTGGAGAATTTCAAACTGCACTAGCCAAAACACCAAAGTTGGTACATAGTAATTTTCTACTGTCGGGGAACGGTTCTAGAAGAGGAAGAGAATCTTTCTGGTTACAGTGAATTACTATTTATTCAATGAGTATTAAAACAATGCAACTGTATTGAAGCAGTAACAAGCTTATGTGATACTGGAAGGGAACGCTAAAAGACGGAGATGTTCAGGTCATGTGTTGGTTATGCATGTTGTCATGTGCTGTCACCTGCAGAGGATAAACTGCTGCAGGCCAGACTGTCCTCAGTTACACCTCTGCAAATCCTGCTGAAAGCTAATAGATTTGGACAAGTTTATTCAAAGTTGTCTTTTAAGAAAGAAATAAATGGGGACAATACAAATTTAAATTATGGCATCATTTAGCCTGTGGTGCTCTTGCTAACAGCAAGAGTGTTGGGAAGTATACACCCTGGCTTTCAGATCTTAGGTGATGTTTACAGGGCTAACAGGGATCAGGGAATGTCTTTTATACCCAAGCAGAGCACAGCTGATAAAACTCCATGATGAAACAAAAAGTCTTCTAGATTCATTGACACCTTTACAGGCAGAGCATAACCAGGTTTCAATTAGGCTTGAGAGATTTTTTTTCTCAAGATAACTACTTCTATAAGGCAAAAGTATACTCTTATGCAGTCATCCCCTGTCCATTATGGCATAGCACATGATCTTTCTAGAAACTAAGTTTATTGAGATCACAATTATTAAAAAAATGAAAAAT